AGTACTTCAATATATGCTTATTAACTTCACGGAGTATTAATACTTTATTTCATTTCCTTCCATTAAAAAAAAAATGTCGAAAAAGTGCAATTTTTTGGGCCGTTACAGTGGTGTTACCCCTTAAGGAATTTGATTAGTATTTTGCAATTAATTACATCTGAAATAGAATAATAAACAGTTTTGTGTTATTCTATCGAAAAGAGAATTAATATTTAATGGCATGAAAATAAAACAATCAGATAAGCTTTGGAAACTGCGAGAGCGTACAAAAATTTTATTGCTGTGATAATTTTATTACGGAGAATTTGACTAAATCAATAGAAGTGACAGCATGTCGATGATGATTTGTAAAAAGCGAGCCTGCTAGATTTAACGCGCATGATCAATTTGTAAGCATATTCATGTTGGGTTATACGTATGTATTGTAAGTTTCACAATGGTGTTGGGTCGCGTTTGCATCGCGCTCTGCGCCTCGACGACACGTGGACCTTCCATGAATATTCATAATTGGCGGTTAGAACAATAGTGCCGCTGTTGGGCATACAACGCGCTGTACCTCGGCAAACGTTGAGCGAATCGTCGTCGAATTGGGGGGGTACAAGCAAGATCAGGTTCGATTGAATTTGCAATTCGCCGATTCGTCATTTGTTCTTAAATTATAACAGTAATAGCGAGTAAAGAAAATGCGCGACTTTATTTTGTCCATATAATTATTGTATCTTACTGTTCGATGGTATAATATATTTTTATGATACGTTATAATATTATATTGGAAATATTTTAAAGCAATTTTCATGATATAAAGCTGGACATATCCAGTGATATTTTCAAAGTTGTTTATTTTTCACTCTGATAAGGATAAAATGGTTATTAATATGGCAGAATAGATGAAGTGCTGTAATCAAAGCTCGCGATGGCCCGATTTAAATATTAATATTTTTTTAGAATTACTTTTGTTATTGATTTAAGTTTAGACTCTGTATAGACGTAAATAAGAAGAAAATTAATAAAATATATGATTTTTGGAGAGTTTTTATATATAATTTCTTTTATTTTGTGTTTTTCACAATAAAATATTCTTAGTATGTGTAAATAGGTTGTATGTTTTTGAATAACATATTTAAAAACGATATCAATATCTTTACAAAATGAAGTATAATAAAAAATTTAAATCGCGCATTTTTTGCTCGCTACTGTATATATAAAAGAGTATCTGCATCATATCTTAAATATAGAAAAGACAGGGATATCAATAACGGAAACGTACGTGTATATTTTCAGAAATTTTAGTAGTGACTTTCTTCATCAAAAATACAAGCGAGGAGTTCTGTAATATTCATAAAATAAGACCTGGCAAATGTGGCGTAAAGTTTTAAAAGTAGCTGCATTTAAGGAGTGTGCATTCGTGTAGAGGTGTAGGTGACACGTGTAGAGGCAATTCACATGCAGCTGTCTCATAAATTAAATGTCACAAAACACGAAGACGTTATTAAAACATTTACAATTGAATATTAAAAACGAATATTGCAAGTGAAAGAAAAAGAGATCTGTCTTTATTTAAGATATTCGAATTAAATGTCTTGAAAAAATATTAAATATGTTTTAACGTGATATAAATTGCAATGGGGTATTTCGTAAAAAATTTGTTTCGCGTGGAAGATTTAAAGGTACGAAGATCAGTAATCTCTGACCTGCGAGGCTAATATATGGCGAAGAGGAAAACAAAATAAGATTTGGAATAAATTTTACTCAATGCTCGTTGATATTAATGAATATCAACGAGCTCCAATCATCTAAATTTACTAGCTCGTCGGTATATGAGTGGTAATTGAATTTTATGAAGTTGTATCGATGCGGCGGTCGCGCTCGCGCTCGCGCCGGAAAAATCATAACGATCGCTCAATCCGCAATCGAGTGCGCGTGCTAATTTCGAATGGCTTGTTTGGCCACGGTTAATGAGTGCCGATTGATTCGCAAAAATACACGAATTGATTTCAAAGGCGGCTGCATTTTTATCAGCCATTCCGTAACGTCACGCACGTGCTGTTTTCATGTTTTAAACATTAATATGAAGCAATAAAATGTTATCGCGTTTACGATCGAGCGGTTTGCAACGTACGTGCGGAATATCGATTATCAGGTGCGGTGCCGTTAGGACTATCGTGTTCGCGGTCGAATGATCCATTGGAGATCCAGTGTAAGCTTGATGAAAAATGACGTGCCGTTGCGCGAGATAAAATGTTTATATATGCACGGATCAATCGCGAGGTTCTCGGTTGAATTAAATATCCCGGTGAATATGATGTGCACAATTTTGACAAGTAGTCTGATCAGTCTGATGTCCCGCGGAGACAAGAAATAAACAAGGACTTGAAATGAAAACGGCACTTGAGCGTTGTTGAAAGTGTGAAAGCGCCGGGATGCAGCGACAGTGCTTCGGGACAAATGACATTTTTTGCACGTGACATGTATATCTTCTTCTGCCGTTAATTCCAGCCGTATCTTTCTATTTTTTGCCGCTTCGTCCCGCGCTTTTTAAATCAGATCCTACCTTAAACACTCGGGCCATAAAAATTTTCCTGTTTTTCCGACGGAAAAATTATTGACGTTCTCCACTTGGAAGTCGGCGTCTCTCTCTCTCTCTCTCTCTCTCTCTCTCTCTCTCTCTCTCTCTCTCTCTCTCTCTCTCTCTCTCTCCTTCTCTCGCGTTCTCGTTCGTGCGAGATCCGCGCATTCGACGACAAACCCGGCGGGTACTTCCGCGCGGAAAAATCACTCCCGCGCCGTCGTGGATGGGCGGAAAGTGCCCTGCCGTTAAAAAGCGCAGTCGGCCTTTCGATTTCTGACGTGCAATTTGTCGGCAGTCACGCTCGAGTTGATTCGGGTTAACGAACCAAGTATTTTCGACGCGTCGCGCCACCGGGACGAAATGTAATTTCGTCCACGACTTGCAATCAGCGTGCGCCGCGAGAAGAGTACATTAATCAGAGGTGAATTTTGCAGTTGCCGATCTGCGAACGTACTCGAAGAAGACGCAGATGCAGAGGAAGAAGATGCTCATGGGCAAGATGGGCCGTAACCACGACATCACCCTCACGCCCCGCGACTTCAATTACGATAATCATCACTACCAGTATCTCAAGTACACGAAACGCGGCAAGGTGAGTCGTATTTGCATTCTTACGCTGCATTTCCGCGGCAAACGACGGGGAAAATATTACACGGTGTCCTTACCTACATCGTAACCGAGCTCTCGGATAGAAATGTTTCCCCATTTGCCACACTATATATTTCCTTGTGTATACATAATAGCGTACAGCGTGTCATATAATACAGTGGACCTGCAGAAACACGTTATTTTTATTATGCATAATGTAAAAAGAATATATATATTTATGAACTTGTAAAAATAAATGTTATTATAACAATTATAAAAACAGTTAACAGTAATTCAGCTGATTGAATGACAGTACACAATATTTAATTCATTTCATTTTGCTTACTCATTAAAATGACAATTACTTCATTTTGTTAACCTCCCTGTCACTCTGTGGGTGATTATCATATTTTCTGAAGCATGATATCGTTCTTAATTTTTATCTGTACTATATACCACTAATTAATTTAACATTTAATATTTAGTCATATAAATGAACTTTTATTAATGTTAAAATGTTAATGTAAAATTTATACGCTAGGGAAGTAAATAAATTTTATCTCTTTAAATATTAATTGAGCCGGATTAAATGTCGCATCGTAACGATGTTTTAACGCTTTTCAATATAGCGCTACTTTTGCAAGAGAGAATCTTGAATTTAAAAAGCAAAAATTAATTATAAATTTATGAGTTTGTTCTGTTAAAAATGAAAATTAAAATATTTACACACATATATATATATAGAATCACATTACAATATTTGCACAATTATACGTATAAACGTGGTGGTATGTATTTATCTATGATTATTTAATGAGTAATTAGATGTTATTTAAAATTCGTTTGGCATATATTTATGTTTTGTAAATTGAACGTATGAATTAAATCACCAGAAATGATAAGTTAATAACTAATGTTGATTGGTACTTCCGAATACAATTGATGCAAGACACAATTTTACTTTCCGTAAAATGGCAGATATCATATAATAGACATATTTGTAACGTAAGCCGTGATTTATGTGCAAGATTGCAATTTTCAACCAGGCAATGCGAAGGTATTTTCTTCGCCGTGGAATCCCATAAAAATGGATTACCGCAAACGCGCTATTTCAGAAGAAACATGAGTTCGTACTTTATAGCTTGGTGGTTTGTTTGTCACTCTTAACTCTTTACAGATTTGTGAAATAGAGCCCTCTCGTAGTATAAGTATACAGCTCTTTAAAATTTTTTTTACACACGTTCGTATGTATCCCCCGCGCTGTCATCAGCAGACATCAGCATTATTTTCAAAATCCACTTTATCTCCGGCAAATCGTTGGGAATATGTTGAAATTAGAAAGTGTTAATTAAATTCAGCTAGCTGAAATTTACGGGTTGACTGAAATTTATGGCTGACTTTCTGGATAGGCGCGCATTTATTTACCAAAGAATTTCAGAGAGGGCGGGAACGGACTGATTCTACTCTCCGTGGCGCAGAGCAGACAGAAGGGGATACAGATGTACTCGCTGTATTTTTGTTCGCGTTAAGAACAAAGAGTCTACATATCACGTTTACGGTACTAAAACGAAAGCGGTGCCCCTCCCACCCTGTATAAATCACACGGGCTCGCGTTTTCCTAGGTCGCGCCTTCGCAATACACTCTTTCTCGCTCGCTCGTCGACGATTATATCGATCCGATCTCAAGAAAGACTCACTACTTTTGGCGCGCAAAATTACAAGGTCGCGGACACAAATATTAAGCTAGATTCCTTGGATGAAATCTCGTATCCGCTGGAAGGAATTCCAAAAATTGGCAATCGCAGATTGAATTGGTCGTTTGTTGGCACTCGAATTCCACTTTGCGTTGACTCAAGGAAAAAAAATGCGATCAAGTCAAACATATTCTGTATCTAAAACCGTAAAAGAGCATGTTCTGTGTCGCAAAGACAATTTAGCTTTTGTGCTACTTATTGTTAGAATGACTTTTAAAAGAATTAAAAATAAATTAGAAATCAGTGTAGAATTATGGCAATACATGTATGTAAGTAAACAAATCGAAAACAAAGATTTTTCTTAGATATCCTTTTAGAAACTTTTAGAGATTTACGATGCAATCAAACTTTTTTTAATTTAAAAGTAAAAAGTTACGTAATGTTTGTAAAACATCTGTTGCCATCGTGATGTTTACAACAAATTGAAACAGATAAGAGAAGTAGAAATTACTGTAACTAGAAATATACTTTTATATAAAAAAATATACTTTTAAATAAGAAAGAGTTTGATTACACATTCCGTAAATAGTTTGTGAAAAAATAAATTTCTAAAAAAAAACTCCTTACTTTCCCATTCTTCTTTTACACTATTTCAACACGATTTGACATTCGAGTTCTCAAGACTATAAGACTACGCGAAAGTTTTTCGTACAACTATTTGTTTCTTCCCTTCTTCTATTCTTCTTACAAAATACACTAACGCCGCGTTTAAGAAATCGAATTCTTTTTTCACATCGCGAACTCGCCCGTACGAACGAGAGGGAATAAACCCTTATTCAAATTTGATTTCGATTTTTCCTTGTTTCGTTTCTTTGCGTTTCTCGTTCCTGCGTTTCGCGCAGGATAACGCAGAGCTGCGCACCGTTGCTTCAAAATTGATTTGTTTCACTCCGAATTTTTCGGTCGGCGGGTTTTTATCGGGTATCGACACAAAAGTGCAACTTTCCACATCGCTGATGTACATCCGAAGAGAACTTTCCGATGTACACCGGGACTCACTCGCTTTTTATTGATGTCAGAACGTACAATTACTTAAACTTGTACTTGTACCAGCTGTTTTTCAGCACAGAACCGTTTTTCTATTTCTCCCGCTTGGTGTAAAGCACTTATGCGTGTCACGTCGAGTATTATTCACCTTCTTTTCGCGCCACCTCCCATTCTTGCGATCATATGATCTCCCCGGGGGAATTTATAAACGCGGCCGCTTGCGCTAAAAAGCAACGTCCAATATTGTAGCTTCCATCGCCCGCAGCTTGTGCTTCCTGTTATCCGTGTGCATTACCGTTCCTATCCCGTTCGGCGATAAATACAGGATGTATCTTAGACATAAGTTTAAGGGAAGCTCTGTTGTACGGGATGAGAGGAAGATTCTTATATATGTTCTCGCGTAAAAAAAATTACGAGATCGAGAATTCTTTTAATGAATTTTAGGTGTATGATATAATTTTACATCAAGTCCAATCGTTAAGTTTCAATTTGTTTAAGTAATGGCATAAAAACCATGAAGTATCACTTCCTAACTTTTTTTTAACGTCCTCAAAATATCGGAAAATCAGAAATATACAATACTTCAAACATTTCAACGAAATTACAACATTGAAAATAAAAATCAATTTAGAGTTGTCGCTCGTTAACAAGCGGCAATCATTAACGCTCACGATCTTTGATGATAAAATTCAATTTGAATGGCTTCAAATAACTGCTGCTTCAAAATCGTTTTGTCTCAATGAAATTTTAAGGTGCACTTTGCGCTAAATTTAATTCCGTGCAGTTCCGATGTCCATTTCAGGAAGACATGAGATTTGTGCAGATATAGTATATATCCGGCTCGTGTTTCGATACTGGGACAAATATGATCCCATGACGTTTCCTAAAACGATTTTCGTGTTTTGCCGCGTATATTAGCGTCACGCGCGGAGGCAGGACCGCGCGCAGATCGGTGGCGTACACGATGCAGCGGGACGGGAATTTTCCGAAAGCCGACCGTGACAAATCGATCGGATCGCACGCGGTCCGATTGATTGGCACATTATTTTAATGGCGGTCCGCGTTATAGCCCGGTGCACGGAGTGAACCGGCGCGGAAGCCACTCTAATTTATTTGGACCCGGCGTGCCCCGCCACCGCGCGCCCCTGCTCAATTATCGCAACACGCCGATGCAAATGCGCCGACGATATACGAAATCGAACGCGTATTTCCGCTCGGCGATACGGCGATCTCGTGAATTAAATTTCGGGTAGCCGTTAACCTCGGCCATTTACTCCGCCACGGGAAACACAATTTTAAACTCTCGTTTGCAAATAAACATGGACCACGCCGCGTTGAGCGTTTCCTCCGCGTTCATCCCCCCCTCCCCCCCCCGTCTCGAATAAATTCTCTCTCCCCGTCCCAGGACCGCCTTCCTCTCTTCCTTTCTGGGAATTATCCACGACCGACGGTGGCTTTGAAAAGAGTTATTTATGCGTGACCTTTCGCAAATTGCTCCCTTTGTCGGTTTTACTTGTCAGGAGGAGTCACGCGATTTTCCGGAATTTTTCACTCGCGGAGACGCCGCGCCGCGCTATTATTGAGAGATGGAAACTTCACCGTCGGAATTCATCCATCGACGAGTAATACAGTTTCAAATCTAATTTCAGCCGCGTATCCGATCGAGCCGTGCAACTTTTGCCACGGGCCCTCAAATGAATTCGCCTTCCGATTCCCCGGAGGTTCGTTCGTTCCTGATATTAATGACACATGATATTTTCAGAGCGTTATTTTCTCTTTCTTTATACATATATCTATATTATATGTATGTATATGTATATATTGCAAAAAATATGTAAAAATTGCATATCTTTTTAAAAAACAACTGTGTTTTCTCTATATCAATCAATTCATCTCATTATTCTGTGTTTAAAAGTATTGAGGTACAATTATGAAGAAATCAATAATTTATGGGATATGTCATACTTCCCTTCATATCTTACTTTTGTCTGAAACATTTTTTTCGTGTCTTTTATGTCAAAATATGACAACATAAAATATTAAATATCTCGTAAAGTATTGATTTTTCGATAACTTTACCTTAATATTTTTATATGCAGAATAATTAGAGGAATCATATTTTTAACAAATTAAAATAATCTTCATATGATTTTGAAAAATCGATTTTGGGGGCGAGAGAGAAATTGATTTTATCATTATATTATTTGTTCTGCTTCGTATCTTACAACTTTTTGTATGAAATATTTTTATGTGTCTTACGTAT